ATTAAATCGGTCCTTTTAATTTGATTTGGTTTCTAATATTCGATCGTGTTTGGTTCCATTTGAATCTCTGGAAAGATTTCAAAAAAACCAAACTTTAAAGAGGTAACCAAAACTATATGATATAAAATTAGATATATAACATATTATTTAAATAAAAAAAAATTACTTCCATTCCTTTTTTTTTAAAGTAAAAATTTTCTGTTCGTTTGGTTTTGATTTTTTCAGATTTAAAAAAAATAAAAAAATCAATTAATTTCGTTTCAAAATTTGTTCAAGATCCAAAGCATTCCACCCTAACATTTACTTACAAATTATCTCCACCATGGCTATCTTTTCCCCCCACCGCTTTCAGAGCTGCTCCCTTCCGCGTTCTGGCCCCATTCATGCATTTTCGAAGTGCAACTCGGCGGTAGGCATGTTTATTTTTTTGTTTGATTCAATTTAATATTTAAATTTAAATTAAATTATATTTTATAATTTATAATTTTTATAAATTAAATAAATTATAATTTATATATTTGATTTAGTTTCAAATTATGAGTTGTAATTTATAAAATAAGATAAATTAAATTTACTATTTTTATAAAAATTTTAATAGAATTTTCTTAAAAATTGGTCATCTTTTTTTTTTCCAATATATTTAATTAAATATATTCATCATTTATTAATTAATTATAGTAGCTATACATTGTAAAATAATTACATTTATACCGTTTTATAAAATTTCACTATTACTAATAGAAATCACAATTTAAAAAAAAATTAATTATTAAAATAAATATAAATATAAAAGATAACAAAAAATATATATAATTAAATAATAAAAATATACTATATACATAGAGATAGAATTTTTAATTATATATATATATAAATTATACAATTTGATTCTGTTTATACAAATTATCTAGTTATCAAATATCAAATAAAACTAAATTAAACTATATAATATAATTTAATTTAATACAATTTAATTTAATTTATACGATATAAATTATTTAGTTCAATTTCTCGAATACCTCCACGACGGCAATCCAGAAATGAACGGCTTGCCTGAGAGACAATGCTGCCACCACCTCCTTGAACGTTTTCAGTCGCCTCCTCCTTCGGCTTCAGCCTCCGCTCAAGCTTCGCCCCCTTCATCCCGTCCCCCTCCGTCTCGCTTCCTTCATGAGCCAACCCCACCATCCCGGCATCAGCCACCCCTTCCTGCTGTTTCGCCATCTTCTCCGTTATTGCTCTCACCATTCTCTTTTGGAGCTCGTCCCATCTCTGCAGCTGACCTGGGCTCAGGCCCATCTCCTTGAGTCAACTCGGTGAGCCGCGACTCAGGCCCAGGGATGCCTTGGAGTAGATTAGGTGGAAGGCCATGGAGGGTCATTCGCCGCCTAGCCAAAGGAAGGCGTTCTCGAGAACGTGGTGAAGATGTTTTGCTTCGTCCACCTCGTGTTGGAACAAAATTTAACAAATAATATTAATAATATTAAACAGTAAATCATAATCAAATAATAACAACAAAAACAAATATTAACAGTATCCATGCATCAAAACATTTATTTATTAAAAAAATCAAAATACTTAAAATCAGCCCAAATAAAATTAATTGTAAAATTAATGATATCTAACGCACCACGACTTGACAGTGTAGTACTGCTCGTAGTGCTTGATGACGCGTTCCACCAGAGTAGCAGCCTCGTTTAGGTTGTTGGCCGGTGAGTTGGCACCGGAGACGAGCTCCCGAAGAAGGTGCCTCTGCTCCTCTATCCACTCGTCGAAGAAGCGGTGGAAGTTCTCCTCCTGCTCCCCTTGCTGGTCGTTTTTGGTGGCGCCGGCGGCGGACATTTCCATGTGAAGAAAAGAAAAATCTGGGATGAACTTGAGGATGTTATTAAAATGTGGGAGTTGTATTCGTGTGGTGGATAAGTCGCGAAGAATTACGAAGCGCCTCACGGAAACGGTGCTGGGCTTTGTGGAAGTGTGTTTTAGGTTCCGACAAAAACACTGGTTTTGCTTGGAAGCGGAGGAGTGCAACGTACAGGCCTCCTATTTTTATTTTTTATTTTTTAGTACACCGTTTACGCCCGAAATCATTTTTATTAATTTAGTTGTTTGTTTATTTTTTAATTTAAGAGGATAAAAAAATAAAGTTGAACTTGAACTGTAAATGTATATTAAAATAATCTTAATTTGAGTTCCAGCCATTATATGGGGTGAATTATTTCCTATTTGTTCCGTGTCAATCATCATAATTATTTGGGATCGGTAATATCCTTCTGTTTTAATTTTTTGCATGTTATTGTTAATTTTATTATTTTTATTTGAAGAAGAATTAATTGATACTTAGTGTAAGTGTAAAATACTTACATCACATTTCACACCGTTAATTTGGTCAAAATTAATAGATAACATTAATTGACATTAATTTTCAATAATTTCTAACAGATAAAATTAATATCATCTGTTGATTTTGATTAAATTAATAGTGTGAAATATGACGTAAGTGTTTTATATTTATATTAAGAGTAAATTAGTTCTTCTTCTTTTTATTTTTATTTCTATTTTGGAGGAGAAGGAGGAAGAGGGGAATGGCTCTAGTAAACAAAAGAAAAAGTCTTGGAGAAATACCCGGTGAAACGTGGTCCGTGTTCAAACTACAGTCATGCAGTCTAAGGTAGTGTTTGGTAAAATTAGAAATTAAAATTTAAAATAAAAATTGGTAAAAGAGGTTTTAAAGTAAAAATTAGATATATTTATAAAATATATTTAGAAGTATAAAAAAATCTTAAAATATGTATTTGAGATGTGCAGCTTTTATAATTTATTGGTGAAAAATTTTTTGTTTGGATTAAATTAATAATACATCCCCAACATTTTTTTTTTGGTCAACCGGCAAAGTTTGCCATCTAGCCATATCGAACCTTCCACAACTTTTATTCGGCGACGACAGCCAGCAACCCCTGCCCCGCCTGCCTCTTGAGTGTTGAGCATTGACTCTGTGTTTGCCTTTGCGCCTCTTTGTTTTGCGGCTCTGTTTAAAGCGCTCAACGTCGTGATATTGGCTGAAGCAATTGATGGCAACATCTCGGTTTGCCTCAGCATGACCGCGATCTCGTCACTGAAGACGAACAGAGTAGAGATAGGGGAAAAAGGTAAGAGTAATTTTGGATTAAAGTAAGGATAAAAGTATTTAATACAATTTTTATTTAACTATAATAATGTCACTTATAATATAATCACCTTTTGTTTTTAAAATTAATTTTTTTTATTGAAACGAGGAGCTGTAAAAATTATAAGTAAGTTTTTAAACATCTTAAAAATACTTCTCTATCTCTCTCTACACAAATCCATGGTCCCCAAGTCTCTGTCGACTGTCTTCCTTCTCTAAGACTCCCTTGATTGGCGGGTTCAAGAGGTTAGTGACGGCAGTCCTATCAAGTTCCCTCATCCAGTGGTGGCGATTGTGAGGTTTGATTGCGGTCTGACTAAGAAAAAGGAAAGAAAAATGAAAAAAAAAAAGTGAAGAAAGAGTTGCAGAGAAGTTTCTAATTTTTGGCGATCAGCCGACCACTGGTAAGGCGAATCCAATGGTGCTAGAAAGCGTTGCACCTGACCTCGTCTGTCGCCTCAAATCCTTCCCCACCTTGGATCACTGTCCAATGGCAATTGGTTGCAAGGGCAAAAATAATTTATTTTTTTTAAATTTTTTTTACTATTATTTTAACAAAATTATCTTTTAGATATCATTTCATAACATTTAAAATTTTTTTACCTATTTTTTAAATATACATAACTTCTAATTAAAATTAATTTTTACCTACTTCTAATTTTTTAAATATCTCAAAGCTTCTCCTTTTTTTAACCCAAAAGAAATAAAATAATTTTTTTTCTCGCGTGAGAAATATTCTACGTAGATGCTCTTTCAAAAAAAAAAAAAACCAAATAAAAATAATAATTTCAAATTGTATTGGAGGGGAAGAGTCCGTTTGAGCAGCGTTTTTATAGTTAAGCCTGGGCCGCAGCCCATTAATTGGTCACTCGATTTTAAGCCCAGATTTTATGAAAACTGTTTGAAAAGGGTCCGTCGTTGTTAACTTGTTAGGAGCTCATCCCCCTGTCCGTTCAGAAATTTCCTGGCCACTCCATCCTGAAAAACACACCTCCCATCCAGAACACTTGGAGGGATCCTGCACAGGGATTCATTAAATCAACATGGATGGGGCGATGGAAGAAGGGGGCTGGGTCAGGGAGTTCAAAGAAGTATTGGTGAGTCCACGTTCCTAACAGTAGAAGCTCGGGGGCATCTTAGATGGTCTCAACATGACTTGGCATTTGTGATTTCGAAAGGTGTAATTAGAGATAAATTCTAAAGTTCTTATGAATGTTAAGTGGGATAATGTGAATGTAGTGTGGATATTATCTCAAGCATTACCAGAATTAAGCGATTACTTCTCTTTCAATGACAAGTGAAAATCTCCTATATTTAGAGGAATTACAACACTTGTATTGATTATCTAACCAAGATTGATTTATCTCTCAAGTCAAGATTAAAGAATGAGCATTTCCTTCCATGATCTGAGAGCCCTTTTGAGGCACGATGCTTAAGCTACCTAACTTCCTGTTAATTTCTTTGTTCTTTAGGACTTGTGTTGTGCCCTGCTCATTACCCAAAAAAAGAAAAACCTCCCATTGGGGGGGGGGGGGGGGGGGAAGGGAAAAAGAAAAACTTGTTGCTTCCAGAAACATCCTGTCCCACGCCTTCCCCCTAAAAAAAAAAAAAGAAAATTTAATTTCTATTCACCTTTCTTTAATAGAAGGTACTGGATTAAAAAAAAAAAACAAAACATTGGTGTTAATCAAGTTAATACAGTATTATAGTAAGCCATGCGCACACGTAAGGTAACCCGAAGAAAAAAATAAAAAAAGAAAAGAAGAGAAAAGGAAAAAAATGCTTCTATCAAAAAATAAAAGAGAGAAAGAAAAAATTGTTAGATTAATTAGAGTTAAACAACTGTCAATTCTTTAATTTTAAGTCTTGATCTGTCGTCGCAGCAGTCAGGAGTTTCTGCCTTCCTTTTATTAGCAGTATTGTTGCAGTCAGGAGTTTCATGGTTGATATGAAGGCCGTCTTCTTCGTCTTCCTGCCGGCATTGATGGGTGAGCTTGAGATCAGGCTTGAGGAGATGAGACTGGAGCTTCTTCAAGTCCGACAACTGCACCGGCTTCAGCAGGAACTCCTCGGCCCCTCCTTCCAAGCACCTGCAAATTAAGTGTTGTTTGGTGTTACAGGAATTCGTCTGCGAGTTTCTTACACTATAAAAACTAAATTTAGAAAATGGGCTTTCGACTTTTGATCTCAAAATCAACCCTCTTAAAAGATTTATTTATGTAAAATAGGTTGATATTTATTTTTATGGGAAGAAAAAGAAGGTAGCTTGGCTTACATGTTGATTCGGGCAGGCACATTCTCTGATGACATAACCACAACTGGAATGTCTTTCCAGGAGGATCCCTGAGAAAATTATGAACAGAATATTAGTATAAGAAAAAAGAAAGAAGAAAAATGCTCCAAGTAGCAGTTTACTTGTTGTCCTTGTGAAATTGGAAAGGAGTCGGAACTTATTTTTGTTAGTTTAAATTAATACTCAGCTTGTGCATCTAAGGGGGTGTTTAGTTTATTGGTAAAAATAAATCTAACTTTCACAAAATTGGTATTTGCTATGTCCATGGGAGAGCTAATTCTTTGTGAGAAAATTTCCAAAAAAGTTGACTTTCTAGTGAAAAAAAAAATATATATATATATATATATATTTCTCATACAAAATAAACTCTAAATAGGCCCATCTTTTTTTATAAAAAAACATTTAAAAGTTAAATAATTCCAATGCCAAACAACTCCTAAAAATATTAAGATTGTTTGTATTTCTTTATTCAAATTTGAAAGAAATATAAAAATTAAGAAGAACAACCTTCTAATTAAAAACACACAGAGAGAAAAATATAGCAAGAAAAGTGAATAATAATTTTAATATTTTATTGAAAAATTAAAATTTATGTAGGATTTACAGACAATTAATAAATTATAAAGAGAATTTCATTAATTTTTCCCCTTTTTCTCCATTAAAAATAGTTGTGAATAATGATCCAAAGCCCAAAATATTTCATATGAAATTAATTAAGATGCTCATGCATTAGCAAGTAAATATTTTCTTAACAGTAAATTAATCTTATGGAATTTGTACAGTCATAACATGCATAACCATAGTAATAATTAATAGAGATTATATGGCTACCTTGACTCTTCTCAGCAAATCATAGCCGCTCATCCCTGGCATGCTATAATCTGTGATTATTAAATTGACTTTTGATCCCTGCACCTGTTTTTTTATTTAAAAAAATCGTATTCAGTATTAAATCTAGAGGAGAGGAAAATAGACAAGTAACCAGAAATTAAAATTGATTTGATCAGATACTACTAGGAAAGAAGAAAGAGATTTAATGGAAAAGTTAAAATAGAAGGGACTTGTTTGCAAAAATAGAAAATAAAAATAAGGTTTTGGATTTTTTTTCATTTTTTATTCTCCTCTTACCCCATGAAAAGTTGTTGACAAATTAGATCTTTGATATCATTAATAAAAGAATATATTTTATTTCTCAAAAAATGAAGTTAAATGAAGTAGTTTTGATATTTCAAATTTAGTTTAATTAATAAAACATGAAGAATTAGAAACTAGGAAATTTTCTCACCTTGCTTTTTTGACTGTGTTAATATGGAGTTTGAGAGATGAGAGACCCTTTTTATGTAGATATGAGAGGACAAATGTGAAGCCTCCGAAGATAAAATTTACACTTTTTACAGTATTACTGTCCTAGTTGCAGAGTCAGGTGCTTAAAGGAGGAAGTACCACCGTTAAAATAGGGGGAGAAGAAAAGGAAAAAGTTCATTGTAAGCATGTTGTTTTATCTTTTCTCTTTCTTTTTTCTTCTTCTTCTTCCTCCTCTTTTTTTTTTTTTTGGGTTGTTGGGGGTGATATTGGGCAAAGAAAAACCCAGAAATAAATGAGAAAATTAACACAAAATAAAATATATTTCTTTTTTGGTTTTCCGGCCGTCTCGCCGTGGACGGAAAACACTCACCGGTGGCATGAGCCGAGGTAATTATCAAGAAGTTTGAGGGCTTTTTGCCACGAGTGAGAGTGTTTTGGTCCAAGGGATTCAGCCTATAAAGATGAGACTAATTAATTGATTAGTTCCTAACCTCTTGTTGGGATGATTGGGATGAGGAAGGAGGGCAAGAACAAGGAGGAGAAGAGACACTAGCAGTGGAATTACTTGTTGAAGAATCAACCAAACCCAGGAACTCCAAAGCCTTGTTTCCAGAATCCACACAAGTAACTGAAGAATCAACGGGCGACACATGAGGGGCTTCGTAAACTAAACTGTAATTAATCATGATAATATCTATCAAACTTAGTGCATTAATGCATTGTACCTTGGTATGAGGAAACTGTGAGAAGCCTCTCCAAGAGCTTTCTGTCAATAAGACTATCATCTACTGCTAAAACATGAAAATGTTGCTCTTGCTCTTCTTCTTCTTGCTTCGTTTCTCCGATACCCTGAGCTCGTTTTACATCCATTTGCCCAAGAAGACCCCAAATATCCCTTCAGATTAAGAGAGAGAGACTTGTATATCTATTTATATATAGTATATGTGCAGAGAGAGAGAGAGAGAGAGAGAGGAGAGGCGTGCTTGGTGGAGAGGATGGAATGGGGAGGGTGCGGTGGGGGTTTATTTTTCCCTTGATAAATTGTATTGACAGTCCCTAACTACTCAGGACTTCCCATTTTAGTACCCTACCTTTAGTGTTTTTCAATCATGTACTTGGATTATTGAAATAGAATTAGTCGCTCGCATATCCCATCAAAGCTATGATCAAAATCAATATAAACAATATTTTGAAAAAGCTTTACGTGATGTTGGATTACCAGGCACGTGGCTAATTTTCGTCATATGTTTGGAAGTCAAAATTTCAATTTTTAATCAATTTTCAATTTTTAGTCCGAGAATGTGGCCAAATTTAGGTAATTTTTCACTCATATTATAAGCCACATGAATATTACATGGCTTTTTACCATGTATATTTGCATTGATTCAATTTCATAAGCATCTGGAGCTTTGTTGCACAAATTGAAAGTTGAGAGACAAAAACAAGAATTCTAAATAGTTTGGGGATCGTGAGCATAATTAACGCTTTTTTCTCTTGTGTCATAATTGAGTAGTTGGGAAGCAATCTGTGTGTTGCAGGAAATGTTTGTGTTTTTCCTCCACTTTGTGATCTCTCAATAGATTCTCCCACTGTCTCTAGACACCGTGTTGGTACAACCACTGAAGGCATCTTCCTTCCCCCTCCCCCTCCTGGGGTCCCTCACAACTATTCTCTCTCTGGATTTTGGGTTGATTGGCAAAGGATAGGATTTAGATTTGTTCACATTTTGTCTACAAAATCTGGAGTCGATCTCTGAAGACTTTGAAAAGTCTGGTAAAAAGATAACAACCCAGCTTTTATTTTCTAATGGTACCTTTGAATGTTTGGAAAAAAGTCGGGGCAAGAGTTTGAAGAATCAACATTCGGTGAGCTCTTAATAAATATTTCATAATTTAATCCATAATATTCTGAATTTTACGTGCCATTCTATTTCAATCTCAAAAATTCATATTTTTTAAAGTAAGACATATTTTTAGAATATAGTATCTTAAAGATAGTTGTGATATTGTTTTTTTACTATATGTCATCGAGGCATATATTTGAAAATGTGGTTTTTTTGTATACATTATTTTTAAAATAAGGCTTACATAACAAACTTATAATCTCGAAGGATCAAATAAAAAAAATAATAAATTAACCAACTTACATAAGAATAGAATTTACAAAATTGAAGGATTAAAAATTCATGTGAAAGGAAGCTAATATTAGGTATTCAATTGAAAATATATTAAAATTTCATATAGTGTGTGTGTGTGTATATATATATTATATTTATAATAATATAATATTTATAATATTATATATAATATAATATTTTATAGTATATTTTAACATATAATAGAATATATATATATATTATTAAAAGAATATATTTTATATTATAAAATTTTTTTCTTTAATATAAGTGAAGTAACTTGTTTCAAATATTAAAATTGTGTTTAATTTCAGTAGCACGTTATTGAGTTTTGGAGTATATACTCTTAAAAATAATTATAAAAATTTGGTTAAAAAATAATTTTTTAAAAATTTTAATCCTAGAAACATAAATACTTGGCTCCAAAACTATAAAAGAATGACGCTTGAACTTTCAAGAAAATCTCACAAATTACATAATTTAAAAATTTTATGCAAACTTCAAAAATGGAATTCCACAAACCCTAGTTTGGACAAGTCTCGTTAACCTTTCGCTGTTCAGTCCTTTTCAAAGTTGTATTTATTATTTATCAGATACTATAATATAATATTCACACTCACACCCCCCATCTCTAAAGCTGACCCGCCTGAGGGCCTTTGTCTCAAAATCAAGCAACACATAAAATGTCTTTTAGGAATGTTTAGTTAACCCCACGCATCCCATCCCACTGCATGTCTGAAATTTTTGAAACAATTTGAAATAAAGATTCTAGAATTCTAACAGCTGGAATAAAATTAAAAATAATTATGAAAGGCCCAAGAAATTATCCATGCATAAGAAACTACATTCTAGAGAAATCTCAAGAGGGGCTAAATGTATAATTTCTTCCAATTTGGGGCACCCTTTAAAAATTTGAGCTTTTGGGAGGCCACACCATTGTGTAAATAATCAGTTAAGTCGGCTCATAGCTTGAGGTCATCTTAGTAGCATGATATCCAAATGAAGAAAAGTTGTTGGGAGGATTGTCCAACAATTGAAATTAACTTTAGGAAGAAACTTCAACATTCCAAAGCATTTTCTTCCATTTTAAGCATTCAATCTAGAAAATTAAAGGGCAAGAGGACATTTGTTGTTGCCAAAAATAGGTTTTTTGACAACTTGATGAGGTGATATTAGGTGTATGATGTGAAAATTAAGAATGATTGTCCGGAGGACATTGTACAACAGTTGAAATTAGTTCTCTGTCAAGCAAAAGACATTCCAAAAGCTCATTATTCTATATTTTGAAATGGGTTAGAAACATTGTTGCCAATAATGTGCTTAGGACAGATTGAGATGATATTTGTTATATGATATGAAAATAAACAAATTTTTCAATGATAGAAGTTAATTACATTTTAGAAAAATAAATATATTTTTTTTTTTGTATTCTATTTTGATCAAGGTTTTAAAGTATAAAATTGAACTCCAAACTTAATTTAAATAGTAGAATATTTATGAGAATTACTTAAAAGTTAAAAATTCAATTTCTGACTATTCTCTATCTCTATTTTCTGACTTAGACATTCAAGTTATCATAACAAAAAAGGCGTATAACCATAAAATTAATGTTCCAAGTACCTAACCTCTCCTAACATTTAAAATTCATTTCCATCCAAGAGAAATATAATAAAAAATTCTTAATAAAATTTTACTTAAGTAATCTTAATTATAATGGAAACAAAGTACCAAATCGACTTGATTTTTTTTGGCCTGGGTCAAAAAATAAAAATAATAGTTCTTTGTGAGTAAAAATTGTACCAAAATATCATCACTAATGGGGCAAAAATGGGGCTTAATAAATGAGAAATTCCTTAAGCATATATTTTTTTCCAACTAAATCAGATATAATTAATGAGATTTCGTTCATTTCTCTTCCCTTATTTTATATTTTAAAAAGTATTAAAGCCAAAAGCTTTTTGTTAAGTTGAACTGATAATTAATTGATTCAATTGTTTAAAGGACATAATACAGTACTGCCTAGCAAGTTCTCCCCCTTATTATTATGGAAGATTGTCTGGTTAGCTAAACTAATTTGTCAGATTATTGGGGCCTATAAAATAAAAATTAAAACTCGGGGGCAAAAAGGGAAAATGGGGGACCACAACGGCAATTGGAGTTTGATAGAGGGTTGAGAACATGGAAATGCTGGAAGCAATCTTTTACAGTAATTATGGTGAAAGGGACACGAAATAAGTGAAGATTTGGAGGAGGGGAGCGGGGACCCACAAGCAAATATTTTGAAATCTTTGTGGGTCCGTTCAAAATGAAATCCAAAGTGGGTCCTGTTTTTAATATTACTTTTCTCCCTGTCCTTCTGCTAGAAATCTGGGGTCTCCCGAATCTGTCCCCATCGAGGGTGTCCAAAAGCTGAAGCCACAGTTACGGAGATAACACAAAAGCTCTTTTTCTTTTCCTCCTCTTTTCCCCTCTTTTTTTCTTTTTTCTAAAAAAAATAAAATTCCCATCTCTTTCTTGGGCAGACTGTTTCAAATTTTCAAATTTTCATTTTTACAATTGAGTATGGGGTCCCACTTTTGTCCGCCACGTGTTGCTTAGACCCGCATGTGGGGCATGCCATCATGAACCCGATAACAGGGTTCTTCAGGTCACTTTATGGCCACGTAAACCGTTAGATCAGATCATTTTAAGGGCTTGTTTGTTTGAAAGGAGTACACGGGCATTTGGGAGCCTTATAAATTACGTACAACAAACAAAATTTTTATTAAAAAATATTTATACCCACATGTTATTATAACTTAAATTTTTAAAAATAAATACTAAAAATTACCTGAATTTCCCTAACTAAAACGCGGTGGTTCAACTTTGAACAACTTTTAGAACTAGAATTAAGATCTTGAAGCAAATCTAGCTTTTGAAGAAAAGCAAGCTTGACCCGTTCCTCCCTTCTCTCTATTTACTTTATTTATAGGCTATGATTCAGTTTGGACATCTTGACCTATTGGGGCAATTTGGGGCCATGCCACAAAAAATAAGGATCTTGAATTTGACCAATCTTTTGCTTAATCGGGTCGTCCAAAAATCAAATGAGATTTCAGGAGATCCGCCGGGTGGGTCCTACCCGAGACCCGAAAGAATGACCAGTGGTTAGTCTTGCGTCTCCCCAGGTTTTGCTTTCATTTCATACATTGTTTTTGAGAAATTTCCTTTCAAGTTTGGCCCACCTACTTTTCCTACATGACATGGTACACCCCCCAACTAATGGCATGGGCCCTGCTCCCCCCCGGTCTCTTAAATCTTAATTAAATACAGAATTGGTTGTAGAGCAGCGTTGTTTGGATCTTTGTCCAACAAAATTGTTTTCCGATCGGACCGACATCTATAATCTAGTTTCGTTGATCTAACTAACTACAATTAAGATCATTAAGTGCTTGGAATGAGACATCATGCGGAGAAAACTTGACAACCAATTGAAAAATGACACGCGGCATGCTTGTAGAATAACTCCAACCACGATGAAATTCTAAGAAACCTAAATTTCCCAACAAGGAATCTTCCTCCCAATTATCAAAAAAAAGTCTCATTCAGATAAATTTAATCTCTTCCAACTCTTACACTAATATGGATTTGGGTAAGATTTGTGGAATAATTAGTGTAAATTCAAGTTTCAACCAGAAGGAAATCCAGAGTTTTTTTTGCATACCTTTGTTTTTTAAATTATAAAGAATTAGTTTCTAATCTGTTTATAATTAAGATTTTTAATGTAAAATTCCTTAATTATTTATCAAATATAAATGCTTGTATCTAATTTATGAAGAAAATCGCATATGTTATATTGAAGTAACAGGGGTATGATGAATGGGGTTAATTACTAAAACACAAAATGAGGGCCTGTTTGGAAAAATTGAAAATTAAATGTCTTTCAAAATCTTCAAGAAGAAATATTTATAATTAATTTAACTGCTAATTTAAATTGCATTATCAAAAATTGGCCTAAGCAAAACGAATTAGAAAAAAGCGGTCCACAAATTTTTCTTTTTCTTGGACGATTTTCTTTATTGGATTACAGCTTTCATTTTCACTCCTGTCTGGAAATTGAAGCCAAGAATATCCATAATTGGCTCCCTTCTTTTTCAATTTTCTTAATTTCCTCCACAGTATAAAATATTCTTTTCAATTATTGGAAATTTGTTTGGCTTTCCATCTCAAGATTTATCTTGTCTCTCTTGTGATAGTTCACCTTGTTTTCTTTTCCCCTTTTTCCCACAACAAAAATATAAAAAATATTAATTAAAAATACAAGCTTCAGGAGACGCGTGGATTGACGAGGATTTGAAAATTAGGTTTAGGATTTCCACGAGGACAACAACCGACGTCCTTTCATGGGATTTTAATTTTGAATTTTGTGAGGAAGACGGAACGCTGAATGACTGATTAAAAAAAAAAAAAGTAATTTACCAAAAGCTCCTTAGTCCACCCATTAATCAATCTCCCAGATTCGCTAATTGAGTGGGCCCGGTAATTAGCAGGTCAAAAGCTTAAAACGAGAGACAAAATTAAAATCTTGTTAGGGCCTCTTACAGGGCAACCTAGTAATTAGCTATCATCATATTCTTAGGATTATTCAAATAAATAAATAAATAGTTCGTTGGAATTAATTCTTTAATTGAAATTTGAGTTAAGGCATGCTTAACTAATAGTAGCGGATCACGGGTCATGCTTGGGAGATTCACAAGTCCCTTCTAACAAGTTTTATCCATACTCAACTGCCGTATCAAATCAAATGACTCATTTTGTGTTCCACGTGTCGGATCAAGGCTCTTTCCATTTCAATTTTTTTTATTTTCTAAATTTTTTAAATTATCATATGAATTTTTTTTTATTTTAAATAAATTAAAACCCATTCTAAAAAAGTGGTATTAGTACAGATTTTCTAGATCTTAACACCCCAAATCCTTTGTTTGGCTTTACGTGTGGATGATGGAAGATTGGCATGCATGCTTGGGAGAGATTTTGAGCAAGTCCAAATGATACTTTTCACGTTTTACATCATTCCCATTTTTTTTTCCTTTCTTGCTCATTTTCTTTTCCTCCAATCAAGGACCCACTTTTCTTCATATCTGTGATCCTCTTTAATCTTTCTAGTTTATTTAGATTTTGCTTTCAACATGCTGCTCATGATTGTCAAAGATTTCATGCAAACCCATGAGCTCAAGATTATCTTCTTGTTGCTTAATTTGGTCCCACAGAATCAATGTTTACTCACACGGGTTCAGCTTCATCATAATCCCACATATCTCGATCTGGGCCGACTGGGCTCTAACCCGACCCACTTCAATTTGGGAAGTCCAAATCCTTCACCCTATTCCTTTTAAACTTAAAAATTAATAATTTGAGGTTTATTTGATAACATTCACATTTGTTCCATTAGTCATAAAATAAGGGTGAATGAAAGTATAAGATTTAGGTATTAATTGTTATTGTAAAACATAAAATTATATCTGTTTTTGTTTTGAAAAACAATTCTTATTTGACTCACTCTTTGGCATTACTTTTTTGTTACAAATATAAGGAAAACAGATATAGAATTTTATCAAATAAGCCCATAAAGTTTGAATATGGTTAAATAGTACCCTGAAATCTTCATCTCCTCCCATAATAATCACAATTTGGTTCTAGGATTAAGCCAACTTTACCTTAATTTTTAAAATTTTAAAAGCTAATTTCTGGCATCATTATAGGAGAAAACAAAACATATGCATGATAGCACAAACTTAATATTTAATTAATAAGCTGTGGTGGCGTGCTTTCAGAGGGAAAAGGAGATTAGTTTATAGTGATTTTCTAGAAGAGAAGTCAAGATCACAACCTCAACTGATGGTTGTTGGTGCATAAAGCAACTCACAGACCTAACCTAGGCCTTTTGTAAACAGGGGTTTTAATCTTTATGTATATGCATTTGGTGCAAGCATTAATTAAAACTTGCAATTAAACATAATTATTAGTTACATATCGCTTTAATTTGGTAGAATGACATCACCCAACTTCTGATACTGACTTCAGATCTTAAATTTATAGGTTGGGCTAAGACGGCCATGGCAACAAACAAACCCCTAATCTCATAATCTTATGCCTTCCTTTGAATACACTTCAAGCAGATTTTAACCGAAGAATTTACCATAACTTTTCTTTTCTTTTTTTCCCCTTTTGTTGGGTTTTTGGTTTATTATTATTATTATTTGGCAACAAGGGTAGTGAAACAATAAAAAGATGAAGAAAAACTCTCAGCTTAGGGAAGAAAAGTATATTCTTTTAACGTGGGTCAAATGAAAGATTATAATTGGCCAGAATATTCGCACAAGAATTATGTTTTCTTTTTGGTAATGCAAAGAGTACAAAGCACTGAAAGGAAGGAAATGCAACAACTAAAGTTTAAATATCTGATTATCAAAATCTCTAACACTCAGGGTTAAAATAGATATAATTAGACCAACTGCTGTAGGCAAGACTTATTTTGTTATTATTAATATAACAAAATAAGTAATAAGTTGATGGGCCTAAGGTCAAAGAGTCCAAAAGTCCATTCATAATTCACTCTTGGGCTTAACTCCCTAATATCGAAGCCCAGCCAGAGAACATCTTAGATGTTTACTCGACCCTTATGATTAAGTTGCCCTTCAAATTTGATGTATGAGATTAGTCACTATCATTCGAATATTTAAATATTTTATTATAATTGAAAAATAGCTGATATAATTATATTGAATTTAAGGGAAAATAAATATTTAAAATAACAGGATAAGAAAGTTTCTAGTTCTTATAGTTTAGGAGATCAATTGAAACAAAGGCTACAAACAACAATTATAATAAAGAATATTTGACATCCTCTAATGTACCCAGCTGCTTTTCCGTAGACTTACTCAACTCTTCTGATCCCTCTCGGACTTCAATTTCCAGAATTTCCAATATAGTGAATATATATATATATATATATATATATATTTACACTGCTATTTGTTAGGCGATAAAACTGTAATTTGTCATCTCAAATTCTTGTCATTTGGTATGTCATGCACAGCAGAAATTCTAATATGCTTGGTGTTCTATGTAAAGTGTAAGGCTGAATAAGAGTTAGTATATATCTCTTGAAACAATACGATAGCGGGCCATAAATTACACTTGTTACAAACAACCCTAGCTAGTTCCTCTAAACCAGGACAGGGTTGGCCATTTTCTCTACCGTCAGTGTTCACATAGATATCTTTCTGCAATGGCCGCATGCATAGCAGCACCAATGGGTAGAGCGTCTTCGTCGATCATGAAGTGAGGGGAGTGACCGGAATGCGTTGAACCCAAGGTTTCATTTCTGATGCCTATGTAGAAGAAGGCCGCCGGCACAACCTCGGAGTAGAAGGAGAAGTCCTCGGCTCCCATCATGGGTGGAACCACTCTGAAGTTTTCGGCACCGACCACGTCAACCGCCACCTTCCTCACGTGTTCGTACATTTGCTCGTCGTTCACGGTGGGAGGGTAAATTGTGCTTTCTTTCTCGAAGAAATCGACCGCCGCCGAGCACCTGAACACCCTGGCTTGTTCTACTATTACCTGTTTCACACATATTATAAATAGCAAGAGCACAAGATACGAATGTGCTTATTCCAAGTGTTTGTATGGAAAATGATTTCTTGGCAAACCTCCTTTATTCTTCTGAGAAGTTGATAAAAGCTTGCGTTTGAGAAAGCCTGAACGTGCCTCCAAGAATGACTGTTTCTGGTATTATGTCAAGATTATCGCCACCGTCGACTGCAGTTACTGATACGACCTGATGGTAATGATAAATTTGATGAAGTAAAAATAGATATTGCTGTAATTACACGAATTTAGAAAAATAAATAAATAAATTTTTTAATGTGGGTTTACCTTTATTAGTTCATTTAATTAATATTAATTTTTTATGGGTCCATAAATTTAAAATCCAAATTAATATATCCTTGTTATGGCAGGTATGCCCTCTAATTAAAAAACAAAATTTGTTATTTTCTTCAAATTTAGTTTTTCTAAATCACTTTTAATTATTACATCATAATGTTTTGGGTTTTTTTTATTCTACAAGTTTAAGTTGATTTTGTTATCTATCTATCAAGATTTATACACTGACTTTTCAGTTTAAAAAATAAAATAAAATATTAAAAAATTAGAAGATTATGAGATAAAAAAATTATAATATTTTAATTTTAATTTTTTTGTGATTAAAAAAAATGAATATGTAAAGAAAAAAACTAGATATATATATAAACTGCATAGAAATTACAATAACCTATCTTATCAAGAAATGAACTAATACGATATGTAAGAGCGAGATATAAACCTGGGAGTCCAAGGGGTTGGCCTCGCGAGACACAATACCCTGCAAGCTGATGACAGCAGCAGAGGCAGCCAGAACCGGGTCAATAGTGCGGTGCGGATCTCCAGCAAGGCCTTGTTTACCACTTATTACAGCTCTGAAGAATCCGCACCCGGCCAGCAACGGGCCGGGCCTTGACCCGATGACACCAGTTGGATGTTGGTGGGACACGTGGACAGCAAATATAGCCTCCGCGTCTTCCAGGGCCCCATCTCCTATCATCCCTTTTGCTCCATTTCCGGCTTCCTCTGCCGGCTGGAACACCAGTACCACCGTCCCCTGCACATGCAATCGTACCATCACCCATTTTAATGGTAACATGCAAAAGAATGTCGCACTTTGTACCTTATTTTTTGAAAAAAAAAAATCTAACATCTTATATTCTCAAAGAAATTTCATTTTTTTCTCTTGCAAGCTTGTGGTTTTGCGTTTGATACCACATGTGCGTCACAAGCCGACAAAAAGGTATCGGTCTGTGTCGGTCTATCTGGCTAGGACATGCCAAAGTCCATAAAAGCTAAGCCCCTTGGTTTGTTCCTCACTATACAAAGCCATAGGCGAAGCCGCCGATCTACCATCAAGGGCACACAGGCATGCATGCATAAACACAAAGAACATGTTTCCAAAAACACTTTCTGAAAAGAAAACTTTATATTTATTGCACGGGGACGCTTGGATAAGGCTCTAACAACCAATCATTGGATCCAACACAAATTGGGTAGGAAGGATGTACAAGGATGATATTATAATTTGGTGCAAAAAAGTGAAATGACCCCAAGTTTAAGGGTCCTAAGTGCAATTTAATTTATCATTCTAGAAACATGTGAATCTTGTTTCAGTCTCTTAGGGTTTAGTGTCCTTCTAGATAAGATTAGTTAAAAAACGTAAATACCCATCTCTCCTCTTTTCACATCAACGTGCCGACGGATACCTTTTACCAAACGATGGGGATGCTAACATAAACGTACACTGCATTCACCATTTTATCTAAACTTTGGTCAACTTTCAAATCGGCCTCTAAACTTGAAAACTGTTCAAGTTGGCCCTTCATTGTTACAATTTTTATTCATTTAACCTAAAACTGTTAACTCCTAATAGAATTTGCTGATTGATCATCAGCAAAACATGATGATATTTAAATGAAAAATATAATTCTTATCTGAAGTCAAATACTAGTATAAATTATTTTCTAAAACGAAATTCATGTATAGGTAAAAATAAATAAATAACTAAAGAACCCTGACCCCAATGGTGCATGGCTGACAGCAGCCCACATCCCCAACTGCCTCCGACGGGCTCCTTGTCCCATCCGGGAACTGCAGCGGCAACAATGGGAAAGAGATCTCTCTATTAGCAGCGATCAGGGAGAACACTGTCCTTCCTACCTCTTTCTCTCCCGTCAGCTCCTGACGAACGCTCTAATAATGGTGACGATATGCAAGCGCCCATAGATGAAAACCTACTCGCAACAGATTCGAGCTCGGCGACGGAGAGAACGCCACCGACTTAAATTTATCACTCCTTGGAAATTCCAGTATTGCTTGATTTTTGTACGAGACAACAGTATGCATAACAAGGCAAGGCATTTTATTTTCTTAATATACGAGGAAATTCTAATCTAAAAAAAGGTACCACCGTGTAGGGACATAACCACGTCGGTTCATTTGTATTTATTCTTGTTGGTAAAGACAATGTGGATATTAATAAATAACATAAGATTTAAACAGACATGATTAAATTGTCAAATTGTGGGATAAGGAGGAATTAAATTTGAACGCGAAACAAAAATTTATGTATTTCAATTGGAAAGTATATATAATTAAGATAAGATATATATACGTATATATACACATTCATATACATATATATAAAGAATTAATAATAACAAAGGAAATTCTTGTATATGTAACCTTACACTCCAACAAAGGAAAGAATATCAGTTCAATGGACTTAGTAGTCTCTCGGTCTATTTGTCACATATGAAATTGTGCAATGTAATAATTAATAGAACAATCCCCACTCCTTTATAGAAAATTTCTCCATTTCAAAAGTGAACTCAAGGGAGAGAAATTGAGATAATTTAAATTTTTATATGGACATGGATGGTTTAGATTATTAAAAACAAGTTGAAATTTTGATTTTAAAGTGTAAAAAAAGTGGACCATCGATCTATTTTAAATCAATGATCTAGATTATTTAAAAAAATTAAAAATTTCAGAATGGGATCCGATTGATGCTTTTATATCCCCAACTAAACGAGTACATTATAATACCCAAATTATAAACCATTGTAACAATATTAATAATGATTTGATTCTCTTGAATGAAAACAAAACAGGTGATTAATTGTTTCCAAAAACACAAAAACAAGAGCAAAAACAGAGCAAGTAGAAGCTTGAGAAAGGTAAGTGAGGGAAAACCTTGAGAAGATGGTGGCGAGCCTTCAAAATCTTGGCAGCACCAAGAAGCATGGCCACGTGGGCGTCGTGACCACACGCATGCATTTTCCCCGCAACTTTGCTCTTGTGCTCCCATTCAACCGCTTCCTGCAACAGCAAAACCCACAAAATATCTTTCATACTGTTATTTTTTACACTAAAAGGTTAAAAGCTCAATTCACAAAAATAATTTCAAGGATAATTGATCTGGTCAAAAGCACTCCCGAGTAACAATTTGGTGACTTTTTCTTGTTTAAGTAGTGTTTGATGTCAAGAGTTTTTTTAAGTCTTGGGCTGGTAGGAAACTGGGTTTTCTTTTTTTTTTTTTTTTTGAAGTCTTAAAAAGTGTTTGATTTAAAATTTTAAGAAAATAGGTTTAATCACATAAAGAATTTGAGAAACCATGCAATATTAAAAGTAAATGTAGAGAGAGAACCATAGTTGACTTGAGAAATGGGGGGTTTGTAATCCATCTCACGCACAAAACCTAGATAAAAAGGGCTATTCCAACCCATTTTCAAACTAAGAGTTCTAGGTTTGAGGGGAAAACAAACGCGGGACACATGAAGTTTGATTTTCCAAGTTCTGCAATTTGGTTATTTCATAATCCAAAATCTGACTTCTCCAAGCCTTGTACCAAACAAGGATTTATTGGTTATGTAACATGTTTAAAATCTTCTAAAAAGTCCATTTTTTATTTAGAAAGAAAAGAAAAGAAAAAAGAGAAAGCGTGCCAAAAGTCCAAACTTCTTACAGGTCAAAGGAAAGGGAACATAGATTGCTACTGTTGCATCACATAGCTTTTTTCTCTGTACAAAATGGAGATATTTTATAAGATCCGTGTGTATTTGACTACCCTTAAAGATGAAGTGGGAGTTTTTTGGCTTTTGGACACATTATTTTATATATATTTGTATGCATGACTCAGAAAGGGAGACCTGAATCGGGAGAGCGTCCATATCAGCCCGGATGGCGACGAACGGCGGACCGCCAGTTCCCACTGTAGCTCGGACCCCGGTCTTTGCCATGGGGAACCGGTAAGGGATCTCCAGTTTATCCAATTCATCGCGGATGAGACGACTGGTCTCGATTTCCTCAAAAGCCAGTTCGGGGTTCTCGTGAATTCTCCGTCTGATGCCCTTTATCCACCGCACCATCTCCGGCCGTCGCGCCATCTCCAGCACCTCCGCTGTGCAGTCCCACCACTCCGCCGACCCCCGCCGTAGCAGGGTGGTTTGGTTCTTGGGGTTGTCGGTGTGCTTGGCGAGGCAGTTTTGCTCCAAGTGCGGGATTCTGCCCTCGGGAGATTCTTTCGCTCCAACAACCAAGGAGATGGAATTTATTAGGATGATTATAGTGATGGAGAGTGAAGAGAAGTTGGGAGGGCTGGAAGGATTCATGTTTTGGAAAGAGAAAGAAATGAAAGAAGGTGATTTGCAGAAAGAGAGAGAGAGAGAGGCAGAGAGAGAAGCAAGCGAAGAAAGATGAAGGAGGGGATGGAGAGTGGAGTGGGAATGGATACCAAGAGAATGGGAAATCATTCTTGGTATGCTTTCATCTCATCAAAATAATGTGATGAAATAGATATAATAAAGAATATTTATTTGAAAAATTAAATTAAATTAATGTAGAAAATATTAATTAAAAATAATTACATAAATATCAAGAACTAAATAAATTTATTTTATTAAATCAAGTAAGTAGGACAGGAATGGAATGATGGAGAGACCCATATCGGTCACGTGGGGGAATTTGTGAACACGTCAGTGGAAGAAGATTTAATAAAGGCGTCCAATCGCAGTTACGTGTGGGGGCCTCCATTTGCTGCCACCTTCAGCTACATAGGTTAGTGACATGATTAGATTATTGAAAGCTTGTTTGACTTCTGCTTATGGCTTTAAAATAAGTTGCTTTTGCGAATTTTATAATTTTTTAAAATTGAATTTTCCATAATTCAACTCGTAATTCTGATGGCTTCTTTTATGATTATATTTTTTAATAAACAAATGAGTTTTAATTTTCTGTAAAAATAATTAAAATATTTCATCATTATAAAATTTAATAACATTTATAATAAATTTGTACTATAAAATTAAAATTTTTTCATATTTAAAAAAAACCATCAACCAAACATGCTCTGTACTTTAATTTTTTTTTTTTTTTTTTGCGCCGGGGAGGGACAGCATTGCGTGGAATGTTTGTCTAAAAATATCATTATTTTTATCAATGTAAATTTTTTTTCTTTTTCTTTTTTCAGTTGTCAGTCGTGCCTACATAAGATAATGATAACTTGATTTTTTTGTGTAACAAAATTATTTCGTGTACTTTATTAATTTAGTTAATTTTAAATCAAAATTATGTTTAACCGTGTATCTCTTCATAATATATGAATACAAGTTTGTATTAATGCAATTTAATTTTATGTAACACTTTTAACATCAAATTACTTTTTATTGACATAAAGCCATTTTTTCAAGGGAAATTAAAAATAAAATTAGAGAGAAATTTCAAGCAAGCAAGGGTTAAATGGGTGTGTAGGTTTTCCTTAGAAAACTTTAAACAAACTTCTATTGTTTCCAAAAATCACATTCATTCTTTTGAAAAATCTTCCAAAAACATTTTTTTAAGGGTAAAAATCATTTTATTCACTTGAAATTTTTTTTATTTACTCTCTTATTGGCTTTTTTGAAACTAATACTGTTAAGTTATTATTTTCCTTAATTGAATTTTTTATAACATTGTAATATTTCGTCTCACATCAATTTTTGACAGTGATGTGATGTTGTATATAAAATATTTAAGATTATTATTAAATAATTTGAGTTTAAGTATTTTGAGCTAGTAATTTAAATTTAACAAGTTATCCAGACTGGTAACTCTAGGATTGTTACAAATGACATCACAACAAAACAATCTTTGAATTTATACTGTTTAGATATGAATATGGATTTATGACTTGACGGGGACGTCAATTGTTTAAGTGGAAAAAATTATAATATCTTATCACACATTAATTTCTCATAATGATATAACATAATATATAAGAGATTTGAAATTACTATTAAATAATTTGAGTTTAAACATTTTTAACCAATAGTTCAAGTTTAATAAATTATTTAGACTAATAACTCTCGAATTGTTACAAATATCTACTCATCAATCTCTATCTAAAAAAAAAATTAATTCTATATAGATCAGACCTTTTTCTTTTACCTTTTTTTTTGTTAATTACTATCATAAATCTCTATTTGTCTTATTCTCTGAATCTCTACTAACAGAAATTTAGAACGGTAATCAACAAATTAATTGTTGCGTAAAAAAGGTAAATAATCATTTATGTTATAAAAAAACTTAGCAAAATGAAACCGCGATTTAACAGTGTTAACTTTAATAGGGTAAACATTACAGTAGAAAATTCAAAGAGTAAATATGATAAAAAAATATATAAAGCTTAAAGGAATAAAATAAATGTTATCCTTTTTTATTTATTTCAACCTCCCATTAACATGCTTTTCTGTTTCCAAAAAATAAAAATAAAAACAAATCCGAACATTTAAATATTTAGTTATCTCTGGTCAAACAGGAAGGTAGAGAGGAGATGATGCTGTCAGTCTTATCCCTCAATTTTGTTATCTTATGGGTATGCTCACAGGAATGGACAACTCTCAGAAAATGCAGAAATTGAAAGATTGAGAAAAACTAAAAGGAATAAATTGAGATGATCGACCGGTGGGTTGGAATGGAATGGTTGGTATTTAATAGGATACGGTGTCGTATTCATTTATAATTAAAACTATTTTAAAAATTAACAATTAATTAAAAAAAAAATTGAGAAAATTTCTGTTCAACAGTATTTATATATTTTTAATAAATTTCTATTAATTTTGTGTGGTATTTAAATTTTAATTTTCGCTCTTTATAATGGGTAAAATTAATTGTATAGTCAATCTAAATTTAAATTCAAATCATTTAATGAAATATGAGTGTTCAAAAAACTTTGTTATGGAAAAAATGTTTGATCAGCTTTACATAATTGAAGGATTATTCACTTCTTGAATTTTGGCCACAGAATTTTCAATTTCAATTATGATATCTTGACATGGTATGGACATATATATTTTAAATTTATTTAAAAAATTATGATTATGACATGATCTAATATAATAAATTTTATTAATAATAAATTCTTATAATTTAAGAAAATAAAAATATTTTAATACTAGTACAAATTTCAACCTAATTAAAATATGTAATTATATGCAAATACAAATTATATTAGAAACCATTGGAAAACCAGCCTTTTATTTTTATTAAATTTACAATTAAGCCAATAGAAAGAGAAAAAGAATTAAAGAAAAATAAAATTTGAAGATTTCGTGGTTTTCTTTTTTTTTTTTTTTTTCCTTTAGTAACAAGATTTTTTGGTTTTTGATAAACTTTAATATACGACGAACCATGAGGATAGGTCTTGTCATTTTCTTCATTTTCTTTCCTTTTCTATATCATTAATGGGAAATCGAAATAGATTGAAAAATTGGAATCATCTGATAGTTACTGAGTTTAGTAATTTGTTTAGTTGGTATCGCCAATTTAAAATATTTAAATTAAAATTATTCGATAATAGTATTTAATATTTTATATATTACATTATATTATTTTTAGAAACTTAACGTAGAACGAGATATTATAATTTTATGCACTAAAATGCTTGACGTATTTATTAGGTCACAAATACCTATATTCTATCCAACTAAAATATGTCCGAAAATCGTTTTATTCTAATATCATTTTTAACGACCAATATCTATTAAATCTAATAATTTATTGAGCATAAATTACTAGTTTAAAATATTAAACCTAACTTATTTAATAGTATTTTTCAATTTTTTATATAATTTATTATATTAATCTTAGAAATTGATATAATATGAAATATTACAAAAATAAAGAAGCAAAAAATTTATTTCATATACTCTATTTGTGAAGGAGCATATTTTCTTTTTATTTTAATTCTGCCAATTTCTTTTTATTTCATTTATTCCTTGCATTTATGTTGATCTTTAAATATAAATATAGAAAAAAATTAAATTTTTGGTGGGTTTTTTCCCAGAAAACCATAGAAATAAGTTTTAATTTTTAAATATTAAATTTTATAGTAAATATTATAAGTAAATTTTACAATAAATGCTTGGCATCGTTCCAAAACAGGCATCCCCCAGGGTGGGCCTAGCTAGTCCCGTGTCCAAAACTACATGAATTGACAGCCCAACTTACTTGCGCATTGGGCTACGTGGGTCCAATGTTACTGTTACTCATTGCGTGGATTGAGGCCCAATCATCTCACTAAACAACGAACATGTTGGGGCGATAATTCCAACGTTCACGGACCGTTTTTGACAAGTGATTAAACCTTAATGGACGTTTGTTATCAAAAAAGCCGCTGGCTTTTTAAAAAGTCACGGCTTTTAAATTTTTTTGTTTCCTCTAACATTCTTTGGATTTTTCACTCCAATAAAACGGTAAAGTTTTGGATACCTCCAGGCTAATATCAGCAATGGGTGGAAGATAAGTTGGAGATTGTGTATACTATTATTGCCATTATTCTTCCTTAAAAAACATGTCTGTTACAAAGTTTAGTTTAAATTTATCACATTTCATCGCCATACTTATTTTTTTAGAAGCGCTTGATATAAATTATATTA